TATCTACCCATCCATCATATTTATCTATCCATCTATCCATCCATCATGTCTATCACCAATCATGAATATCTATCATCTATCATATCTATCCATCCATCATACCTACCTATCCAACCATCCATTCATCATATCTATCAATCCATCATATCTATCCATCCACTCATCCATCACATCTCTCATCAGTCCTGAATATCTGTCTATCCATCCATCCTGTCTGTCTGTCCATTCATCCATTACTCCATGTCTATGATCAGTCCTGAATATCATCATATCTGTCTATCCAACCATCATATCTACCAATCCATCCATCCATCTATCCATCACACCTATCATCAATCCTGAATATCTATTTATCTGTCTGTTCTATCCATATATCTATCCAGCCATCATATCTATCCACCCATTACACCTATCATCAATCCAGAATACCTATCCATCCATTCTATCTATATATCTATCTACCCAACCATCTTATCTATCCATCCATCTATCCATCTATCATCTCCATCATAAGTCCTGAATATCTATCATATTTATCCATCCATCCAGCATATTTATCTGTCCTGAATATCTATCAATGAATTGGTGTATCAGCCTACCTATTTCTATAATGTATCTATCTTTGTCTCCATCTCTTTCCACCTATCATTCTATATGTCTACCTAAATATCATCTAGCCAGCATCTACCTAGCTATCCATCTGTCTGAATATCAAGGCTAATATACACCTATCTACCTACCTATCCATCTATCTACCTAAACCAGGACATCCAGGTACCTGATAGTCCTTTAGAACAGACAGCTGAATGAACGAACAGATGAACTGATGAGTAAATGATGTCCATGAAAGGCTCTTGCACTATTATCTTAGAACACAAATCTCTAGAATCTTTTCCTGTCTTTTGCTTCTAAAGAGAAGCAGAGCTACGTAGTAGAGGTGGAAGCAAAGCCCCCATGAGCACGCCATTCTCCAGGCCGATGGCGACAAGCAGACAGGAGAATGAAAATGGACACCTCCGGGAGGGTACCTTGCTTAGAAGCAGATTTGTTTAAAGTCGAACAGCTTCGTGGAGAAACGCGCCCTGCCCCAGAGGCAGGAGACTCACAGAGAATCCATTCTTGCTTGTCTTGAGTCTTCCCAAGTGAGAGCTGTGGTGTTCCTTCATGCTTTCATTAAGTGACCGTTGAATAAACACTCTGTTCCAGAGAAATGAACCCTCCTTCACTGTTGGTGGGAATGTAAACGGTGCACGCTCTATGGAGAACGGCATGGAGGCTCCGCCAAAAGATTAAAAATGAGACTTGCCGTAAGATCTAGCAATCCCACTTCTGGTTGCATACCCAGGAAAGAGGAAAACTCTAACTTGAAAAGATACACGGACCCCACCGATCACACCAGCACTATTTACGACAGTCAAAAACATGGAAGCAACCCGAGCGCCCGTCGACAGATGGATGGCTCAGAAAGACGTGGTACACACACACACAATGGAAGAGTACTCGGGCAAGAAAAGGAATAAAATAATGACATTCGCAGCAACAGGGATGAACCTAGAGATTATCGTCCTAAGTGAAGTATGTCAGACAGAGAAAGACGAGTACCATATGATAACCACTTCTATGTGGAATCTAAAAAAAAAGAAAAGATGCGAATTAACTTATTTACAAAACAGAAGTAGAATCATGACTTGTGGTTGCCAAAGAGGAAAAGGTGGGGAAGGAGTACATTAGGAATTTGGAATTAACACATGCAGGCTACTGTATATAAAACAGATAACCAACAATGACCTACTGTACAGCACAGGGAGTTATATTCAATATCTCGTAATAACAAATAATGGAAAAGAATCTGAAAAAGAATATGTGTATATATATATATATATATATATATATAGGGTTGGGCAAAAAGTTCCTTTGGGTATTTCCATAACTTTTTCAGTTCAGTTCAGTCGCTCAGTCGTGTCCGACTCTTTGCGACCCCATGGACCGCAGCACGCCAGGCCTCCCTGTCCATCACCAAGTCCCGGAGCTTGCTCAGACTCATGTCCATCGAGTCGATGATGCCATCCAATCAGTTGGTGATGCCATCCAACCATAACATCTTATGGAACCTCAAATAAACATCCGGGCCCACCCCCAAGGTATTTATAACTGACTTACTTTGCTGAACACCTGAAAACTAACACCATATTGCAAATTAAGCATAGTTAAAGGAGATGTTTAAAAAAATAAACACTCCATTCCGGAAGCACGCTCCATCCATCCTAGAACCAAGTAGCCGTTTATAAAGCATCTGTTGTATAGAGTTGGACATGACTGAAGCGATACAGCACGCAGGCACGCACACCCTCCTAAAGTATGAACCCAACTCTGGAAGAGCTGCTCATTGGAATCCCAACGCCTACTGTGCTTTCCGGAAGCCCAATGTCAGGTTTGAGGCCTCCGCAGGATTTCAGCCATGGAGGGAAGATGGTTAGCTAAGAAGCGGTCACTGGTCTTGAAACCCAGGGTGCGGTCTGGCAGGAAACACATACAGTCATTTTGCTAGCATCCCACATGTCTGAACTCTCCACGTGAGCATCTGAGAGCCCAAGAGCCCTTCTCAGAGACAGGATCGAGCCTTCCTTGACCTGACTGGTGGGCATGGGTCCAGGCAAGAACCCACGACCCTGTATGAGATGTTCAGATGGGTCAACGACTGTGTGAGTTTCTCGTAACAAATCACGATCAGGGTGTCGGTATTCTGTTTGTCTTTTTAGGTGCCGTGTCTGACTCTTTGCGACCCCTTGGACTGCAGCCTGCCAGGCTCCTCTGTCCATGGGATTCCTCGGGCAAGAAGACTGGAGTGGGAGGCCATTCCCTTCTCCAGGGCATCTTCCCGACTCAGGGGTTGAACTGAGGTCTCCTACAACGGCAGGCGGGTTCTGAGCCACCAGGGAAGCCTTTTGGTGTTTTTTTTTTTATAATTTATTTTTTTCACATTAAAATAAATTTTTTTTTTTGGCTGCACCATCCATGTAGCATGTGGGATCTTAGTTCCCTGACCAGGGATCAAACCTGTACCCCCTAGCACTGGAAGCCTGGAGTCTGAACCACTGGACCAGCAGGGAAGTCCATCGTCTCTCACTTCTACAGATGCAGGGCTGAGCTCCCCACAGAGGCTCCAGGGGAGGGTCCTTCCCGCCTCTTCCACCTCCTGGGGGCTCCAGGCGTCCGTCCCTGGGCTGGTGGCTGCCTCCCTCCCGTCTCCGCCTCCGTCTCCACGTGGCTTCTCCTCTGTGTCCCTGTCTCTCCTCTTCTGTGTCTTATAAGGACCCTGTCCCTGGGTTTAGGGCCACCCCCATCCAGGAGGGCCTCATCTCAGACACTTCACTCCATCACGTCTGCACTGACCCTATATTCACATAAGGTCCCACTTCTAGGCTCCACCCATCAGAACCCAGTATCCTTCAGGAATGTTTTCAGGCTCACGCAGCCTTCTCATTGACTGGCTTAAAACCACAGGAATCCATCCCCTCCCAGTCCTGACAACCAACCATCTGTCGTCCCTCAGTCCTGGAGACCAGACATCTGAGGTCAAGGGGTCCCAGGGCTGAGCTCCCTTCAGAGGCTCCAGGGGAGGCTCCTTGCCGCCTCTTCCGGCTTCTGGGGGCTCCAGGCATCCATCCCTGGGCTGGTGGCCGCCTCCCTCCCGTCTCCACCTCCACAGTCCCATGACCCCCTCCCCTTCTGTAATCAAATCTCGCTCTACCTAGCTCTGATAAACAACCTCACGAGCACATTGGCAAGCAAGAACAACGTCCTATCTGACGACCTTCATTATCACTGGCAATGATTCTTTTCCCAGATATGAACACGTCTGCAGGTTCCCAGGTGGCAAAGTGGTAAAGAATCTGCGTGCCAGTGAAAGAGATGTAAGAGACCTGGGTTCGATTCCTGGGTCGGGAAGATCCCCTGGAGGAGAGCCTGGAGACCCATTCCAGTATTCTTGCCCGGAGAATCCCATGGACAGAGGAGCCTGGGGTGGGGGGGCAGCCACAGTCCAGGGGATCGCAAAGAGTCGGACACAACTGAGCAACTAAACAACAACCACATTGGCTTGAGGGATAACCCACGTCCTGCGGTATAACCCATGCTCCAGGAGAGGGACATGACCATATTAGCAGATGATGAATGGAAGCGCAGAGAGCAAGAGAGAGGTTCCATGTGCCCTCTGAAGGGTAAGTGGACAACAGAGCTGTCATTCTATGACCAAGAGCCTAAAACGAGGTGGAGGTGATCCAGACCCCCACACCCTGTCCACATCTGCGTCCTAGAGAGCCCCGTGGGGAGTGGTGTCCAGGGCTGCCCGGGTATCATGTGTCCTACAGAATTACCTACCTCTCAGGAGACAGTCCTTCCATGAGTTGTGGGGTGAGACCCCTGCTAGGAGCCCTGGGGGCCACAGGTTAGCCCCTGGGAGCCGGTCCTCCTGCAGACGGGGCGGGGTCAAACGACCCTTGATCAAGACAGTAAATAAGGAAGGTTCAAAGCGTCTCCCTTTCTGGGAGCCGGGAATCAGAGACGCATCTCCAGCACGATTCGTGTGTAAGAGAGACGGGAACACAGGACATCCTTGAAGCTACCAGACTTCCCTTGAAGGTATTTGTTTCACCCAAAACGTGTCTATCTACCCCACGATCCCACGGCACCTCTGCGCATAAGGAAGGAACACGGCTCATAAGGCTTGCAGGATTTAATGACTCAGAGCACCTGGTACAATTGGACATTTAGGGGGAATCACAGGATTCATGGCTGAGAATCCCACCAGCTAGAGGTCCACTCTGCGTTCCCTCTTTCCCATGAGTTCCCGCCCAGGTCCTGATGGGAGACCCTGGGGGGATACAGAGCGTGGAGGGTCGGGGGGATGGGGGTGATGGAGAGACGTGGTCCGGCACAGACCTGCAAGGACAGCACTGATGGTGGTGTTCCCCGTCGGACCACGGTCTTCCCGGTGGCCGCTACCTGCCAAAGGTCTCCTGGGTCACATCAGCGATGCCCGTCAGCTGGCAGCTTCTGGCCCAGAGCTGCGACTGAAGCTCCGGGTCGTACGTGGCCTCCAGAGACCAGGTCTCCCTCTCGTTGTAGAGATAGCGGCCACCGACACCTTCCAGCACCGGGCTGACCGCGGCGTAGACAGAGGTCCAGGCTCCCTCATCTGGGGTCTGCAGGGAGAAGGAATGCATAGGAAGATGCTAACTGTCAGAGCAGGGACACGGGGGTCTCGGGAGCCCCTGGACGTCGAGGGGGAGACACGGGGCCCCTTACCGGGTGGCCCATCGACTCATCACCTCAGGCCTGGCTGGCCAGGGTTGGGGGAGCTGGCACTCCATGACCTCGCGATGGTGCACCACTGCGGGTTGCCTTTCCACATTGTTCTCATGCATTTCCACACATGCGCACAAAGGGCCCCCACTCCTCTAGATGACCCAGAGGAAGCAGCCTCTAAAGAGAAGGCTGGGTACATCTCAGGAGAGAGGAGCCCTGTGGCTACAATGGGAGGGTCTTTTTTCATGGAGCTGACTCACTCCAGGGGCGAGACAAAGGGTGGGTTCTGGGCACAGACCCTGAGTTTAAATACTCAGGTCTCCAGTCCTTTTTTTTTTTTTTTAATTCATTTTATTGAAGTATGGTTGATTTACAAGGCTTCCCAGGTAGTGCTAGTGGTAAAGAACCTGCCTGTTAATACAGGAGACGGTAAGAGATGCAGGTTCGATCCCTGGATGGGGAAGATCCTCTGCAGAAGGGCATGGCAACCCACTCCAGTGGGCTGTACCCACTCCCGTATCCTTGCCCGGAGCATCCCACGGACAGAGGAGCCTGGGAGGTTACGGTCTGTGGGGTCGCAGAGAGTCGGACCTGCCTGAAGTGACTTAGCACGTGTGCAGAGTTGATTTACAAGGTTGTGTTAACTCCTGACATGCAGGGCAGGCTCTATGAAACCAGAACGCCGGCTCACTGGGTCAGAGCAGATGGCGGTTCAGCCTCGGGGTTGGAGGCGTGCTATCTAGCAATTTTAGAGGAAACGTGTAGACAACAGAGAGGTTCTTGCTTTCCAAGCGGGGGAGGAGACACGGTATGAGAACCGGAAAGTCTGAAAAGGAGCTTGAAAGGCACTGGAGAGACGGGGGAAAAGTGGACGCTGGGTGGAAGGCTGCAGGTTGGAATGTGACCCATGCTGAGCTTTTGAGCTTAGGGCTGGTGCCTGGGCGTGACCACTGGATTAGAAGATGTGATATGTGTGTGTGTGTGTACACATACGTACAGCAGAACACTACTCAGCCATCAAAAAGAATGAAATAACGCTGTCTGCAGCAACGCGGATGCACCTAGAGAATATTACACTCAGAAACGTACATCAGAGAAAAGCAAATACGGGATGACATTACTTATATGTGGGATCTAACAGAGATGATACAAATGGACTGATTTACAAAGCATACACAGATTCACAGACCCAGAAAACAAATTTAGGGTCCCCAAAGGGGAAATGGGTGGGAGAGGGTTAAATTAGGAGCTTGGGATTAACATGTGCACACTACAATATATGAAACACATAAACAAGCTCCTACTTACTCCAGGTGACCCCTTGGACTGTAGCCCACCAGGCTCCTCTGTCCATGGGGATTCTCCAGGCAAGAATACTGGAGTGGGTTGCCATTTCCTCCTCTAAGGAATCTTCCCAACCCAGGCATCAAACCTGCAAATCCTATATTAGAAGGCAGATTTTTTTACCACTGAGCCCTGGTCCTTCTCGTGTGCCTCTAAGAGTCTGTCCTTTGAAACATCACCAGGAACAGATCCAAGACAGGAGACAGCCCCACGGTCACATTTTCTAGATGGAGACAGGCTCAGAACATCTTCTGGGTAGTCATAGTGACAAATATCCTGTTGTTCTTGGTCAGACGGATTGACGTGGAGAGCTGCGCCTCTGCGGCAAAAACACAGTTAAATCAGCTCCTGGAGTGAGCCTGCTTCCTAAGCCAGTCATTCTCTGGGCTGAGATCCCAGGGGTCTGTGCCCAGAACTCCCACTTCTTCTCGTCCCTGGAGTCAGTCACCTCCACGAGAAAGACCCTCTTTAATGTATAGGGCTCCACTGTCTTCAGAGGCATCCAGTCTTGTCTCTAGAGCCTTCTTCCTTTCGGCCGTTCAGCAGACGTGGTCTGGGGAGGGGGGGTCCACTTCCCCAACACCTTGAAAATCCTCTTATCTGGGTAACAGTCCTTGTGATCGGCGTGTCCAACGGAACACAAGGACGGCTGTTTGAGGAAGTGGTGCCTGTGGTGTGCTGGAAATGAACTTGGGATGCACACTTTGCCAGAAACTCGGGTACGGTCAGGAGGGACGAGATGTCATGGGACTCTGTCTGTTGACGGAGGTGTTTCTGTATGAAAGTGACTCCCAAGCACAAACATACTATACCCTCATGCATACACACACACACACACCCAGGCACAGACATTCATGGGCACACACACACACCCACGCACACACCGATATTCACATGCTCACACACTCACATGCACACACACCCATGCACACATATGCACGTATATGGACACACAAATATTCACATGCACACACACATACTGCCAGGCACACGCATGCATTTACACACACACATACATTCACATGCACACACTCACATGCACACACATGAATATGGACACGCAAATATTCACATGCACAGACAGATATATTCAATGCACACACACCCAAGCAAACACATGTATTTACATGCACACACAAATACTCACACACACACACACTCACAGCAAACACACCCAAGCACACAAATGCATTTATGAGCACAGGCACACACACCCACACATTCATATGGATACACATAACCCAGGCACGTAAATATTCATAGGCACATTCACATGCACACACTCACATGCACACAAACCTATAAGCACGCAAATGTATTTATTTGGACACACTAATGTCCACACAGACACACAAATATGCACATGCACACACACAAATATGCACATGCACACACACATTTCCCCCAGGCACACACATGCATTTTCACACACATGCAACTAATCACATGCACACACATTCAAAACACACAAGCATTTACACACAGGCACACACACTCACATTTACACACATATATGCCCTCATGTACACACATTCACACACACACATGCACATCCTTGCATGCACACGCACACAACATTCACAAAGTGGTCTTGACCATCAAGAGGGTTCTCTGACATAGAAAAGGGAAAATTTTTAGAAAAGGAGCCATTCTCAGCACTCACACATCTCGTGGAGGATTAATCACATCCACTTATCCCACTTAAGCACATGATAGATGCCGGGCTAAAAACAGCCGTCCTCGATCACCTACAGAACATTTCCAGGCCTCGGGCGGATGACAGTGAGGAAGGAAATGAGATTTCATTTCTAATGTTTTAATTCCCAAATGTTTTGACAGCTCATGAAATGGATGGTTTTATGCACTTCTTCTTCCCTGTGTCTGATGTCACAGTCCTAAGTCTCAGCCGTGAGGATCGTAACACACCACGCCTGCCTGAAAGGGAGCAGGTCTGAGATCCTGAGAGTCACATGTGTGACCATAAAGAAGGCGGAACACTGACAAATCGATACTTTTGAATTGTAGTGCTGGAGCTGCAGAAGACTCTTGCGAGTCCCTTGGGCTGCAAGGAGATCCAACCAATCTATCCTAAAGGAAATCAGTCCTGAATATTCACTGGAAGGACTGATGCTGAAGCTGAAACTCCAATCCTTTGGCCACCTGATGTGAAGAACTGACTCCTTGGAAAAGACCCTGATGCTGGGAAAGATTGAGGGCAGGAGGAGAAGAGGACGACAGAGGATGAGCTGGTGGGATGGCATCACCGACTCGATGGACATCAGTTTGAGCAAGCTCCGGGAGTTGGTGATGGACAGGGAGGCCTGGCGTGCTATGGCCCGCGGGGTCGCAAAGAGTCGGACATGACTGAGTGACTGAGCAAAAACATAAGCAGGCACACACATACACGCACGCTCACACACAAGTGTGCACACAGACACAGGCTGTGACATACACAGCTTTACCCTGGGGGCATTTATCTACATCCTCGGAAGGAGGGGTAGGTGCCAAAGAACTGGGGATCCTAGCATAAAACAGACGACTAGTGAGAGCCTGCTGCGTGGCAGAGGGATCCCCAGTCAGTGCTCTCTGGTGATCTAAATGGGAAGGAAACACCAAAAAGTGGGGACCTGTGTGTGCGCAGAGCCGAAGCACTTTGTTGCACACCAGAAACGAATGCAACATTGTAAACCAACCATACTGCAGCATTACAACTGGCTTCTGTTCTTCCCCAGGAGCATACTGGACATTTCCCATGTTTACCTACAGCTTTAAAATCAGATCCTCTTAGAGACGTGTCATTGGCTTCTGGGGGGGCAGCTCCAACAGTAAAGAAGCTACCTGACATGCGGGAGACCGGGGTTCGATCCTTGGGTCAGGAAGATTCCCCTGGAGGAGGAAATGGCAACCCCACTCCAGTATGCTTGCCTGGAGAATCCCCATGGACAGAGGAGCCTGGTGAGGCTACAGTCCATGGGGTCACAAAGAGTCGGACACGACTGAGGAATTAACACACACAGACACACACACACACACACAGAGATGTGTATGTTAGAGGACAGAACTGTCTCAAATGTGAAGCCCAACCCAGGAAGGAGACCTGTCTGGTTTCATCAGAGGCTTCAGAGTCACTTATGGATAGATGGGAGACACCACCGTGTACTTACAGCTGAAGTTATTCTCTGTATGAAGCCCCTGTGGAGTCTCAGGAGCTTGAAACCACAACAAACGCGTGTTAAATGCTCACCAGTATTTGGCCAGTTAATCAAACCAGTCCATCCTACAGGAAATCAACTCTGAATATTCATCAGAAGGTTTGATGCTAAAGGTGAAACTGTAATATGTTGTCCACTTGATGCAAAGAACTGACTCACTGGAAAAGACCCTGATGCTGGGAAAGATTGAAGGCAGGAGAAGGGGACGACAGAGGATGAGATGGTTGGATGGCATCACCGACTCAATGGACGTGAATTTCAGCAAACTCCAGGACATGGTGAAGGATAGGGAAGCCTGGCGTGCTGCAGCCCATGGGGTCGCTAAGAAAGAGCCGGACGTG